TATGAATGATACACGTTGGGTATCAACTATTCATATAACATGTACTATGCCAACTATTTTAACTGAAACAAAATAAAAAAAAAATAAATCGTTCTTTTTTTTTTTTTTGTTAATTGATTATGATTTTTTTTTTGTCTTGTCTTTTGGATTTCTAGATGAATAAAGAACGACTATTCACAACAGACGTTCGATTTTTGGCACGTAATTTACTAAGTTGATTTTCAGCTAAATCAGCACGTTCAGTTGAGTCTTCTGCAAAAAGAAAAACATTTTCGATTGTTTTTTTTTCATTAATTAACTCACCAAGTTCTGTTTGAACTTTACGAAACTTAGCTAAATTAAGTGCAGCAATTTCCTCTAAAAAAAAAAAAAATAATCGTTGTAAAAATATCTATTTACCAGCTTCTTCAACTTGACGTTTGTAAACTTTAATCTTTGATTGTAATTTTTCAGTAAGATCTTGTAAACGTAATTGATTTTGACGATCTTCTTCTGTTTGAAATGCAAGTTCTTCCAAACGACGATCATTTTTACGTAATTCTTTCAACGTTTCCTGATGACGATGTTGTTCTAATTCATTTTCATTCTCCAATTCATGTATCTAATATATTAAAAACAAAAAAAAAAACGAAAAATTGAATTTTATTTTTATTTTTTGTTCTTTTAAAAAACTTCTTACACGTTGTTCAAGTTTAGCAATAACACGTTTTCCACCTTTAAGTGAATTAGCTTCAGCTTCATCAAGACGTGTTTGAAGATCTTTAACCTGTTGTTCAAGACCTTTGCATAATCGTTCAACTTGTAAAGCATGATCTTGTTCTTGACGTAATTCTTCAACAAGATGTGAAGCATCAGCACTTGCTTTCTTAGCATGTTCTTCATTATTTTTAAGTTCACTAACAGCTTCATCTAAATCAGCTTGCATAGCAGTAATAGTTGATTCAAGTTGTCGTCGTTGTGAAAATAAATTCGCATTTTGTGTATTTATATCACTAATACGATCAACTGCATCATGTAATTCATTTTCAGCTGCTTTACGTGCACATTCAGCTTGTTTTAAAGCTGTACGTAATTCTTCAAGTTCACCAGTTATAAGATTAGTACGACGTTCAGCTACAGCAGCTGCTTCACGTGCTTCATCACGTTGTCTTTGTTCTTCTTCAATTTGTATTTGTAATTCAGTAATATTTTGTTGAATTCTTTTTAATGTTTTTTTTTTTATAAATCAACATTTGTACGATTTGCATGATCAAGTGCAACTTCAAGATCATTAATATCTGATTCAAGTTTCTTTTTCTAGAAAAAAATAAAAAATAAAAATAAAAATAATATTTTAAATTAGCATTTTTTTTAGTTCTTTTGTTTTATGCTTGTTTAAGTGCTTAAGCTTTTGAACGTGTTCCAGCTTCTAAACTTGCTTGCATTGATTCAATTGCATGTTGATGATTACGTCTTGTATTTTCAAAATCTTCTTCTTTTTCTTGAAGTCTTCGATCAATTTCTTGACGAACTGTACTTAATTCCATTTGAACTCGAAGAACTTTAGCTTCTTCTTGTTCAAGTGTTGCTTCAGTATCTTCTAATGCAGCTTGTAATTCTTCTTTTTCTAATTCAGTACGTTTACGAGATTTTTCTAATTCATGAACTGATTTTCCATCTTCACTTAATTGATCAATAAGATCGTTAAAAAGCACAAAAAAAACAATTCATTTATTTTTCTTATATAAAGAAGAATAAATATAAAAAACAAATTTTAATTTCATCAACTAAATTTCTATTTTCTTTTCGAAGTACTTCAATTTGTTCATGTGATTATTCATATTGTGTTTTAAGTTTAAATAATTCTATTGAAAAATGTCTTGTTTCTTCTTTTTGTCACGTTTCAAGTTCAACAGTTATATCTTCACATATTTGTTTCCATTCATTAATTAATTTTGAAAAATTGTTTTTGTTTTTTATTCATAGCCGATGCATGTTAATAAATAATGGGAAAAGAGAAAAAAAAAAAAAGAAAGAAATTATTTTTTTGTTTTATATTAATTATATGTTAAACTTACTAGCATTAGCATGTTCAACATCAACCATAAGATATTCAACATTACCTTGAAGACGAGCTTTAACTTTTTCTAATGCATTACATTTATTTAAAGCAGCTTCAAATTGTTCTTCAGTTTCGGTTAATTTAGCAGCTAATTTTCGTTTAGCTTCTTCAAGTTCTTCATCACAAGCTATTCCTAAATGAATATTAAATTTTTTAATAATAAATTAAAATTTTTAAATTGATAAAATTTTAACCTTCAGATTGAAAACGTGCTCTCCATTGTTGTATTTCAGCATTAAGTTTCGTAATTTGTCTTTGAAGCTCACTTTTAGCTTTTTGTTCTTCATCAAGTTGTTCTCATGCTTGTTCAAGATGACTAGAGTTAAATTACGTATGTTGAGAATCTAAATAAATATTAGGAGAAATATTTCATATGTTATTCTCAATTGTAAAAGTATAAATCTTCGAATCAATAGAATAATTTTTCTATTCGATTTGTCTTATTTATAGATCTGAGTTAAAAGCATGACTCGTGACATCGACATACGACTGATTAAATATATACTTATGATATTTGATGATCTATCACTTATTGAAATTTCTTCTCGGTCAAAGATGAAAGCTGAGTGATTAATTTGTATGGCACATACGTTCAAGGTATTCTGTTCAAAACTCGATGTAACTTAGACATAGAATGATGCTAAGTAAGCACTAGCGACTGTTTCTCCCGGATCATCAGTTCAATAGCATACTGATTACTTTATGACATATGCCAGTCATTGTAATTAGTATGTGATTAGTCATTGTGTACGAGTAGCTCAAGTAATTGGGTGGAAGAACTCTGAATGAGGTCAGCCTTCTGTCCAGAACTATAGATAGATTTAGAATATTTTCTTCTTCGCTTAAAGATGAAACTGATACCAATATCTCTCTCCCTCTGTTCTTTGCATAGACGCATAAATAATTTAATTCATGTATTTTTTATCAATTATTTGTGACTAATAGAGTCTATCGTGTTCTGTTTCTCTGTCATGATAATAAAAGTTAATATCTGTGATAATACTTACTAACTGAACCTTTGCTACGTAATTCATCATCTAATGTTCGTTTAGCTTCATCAACTTGTTGTTGTAATTCTGTTTTAGCTTTATTTAAAGTTCCAATTTGATGTTCAAATTCTTCAATTTGTCTAGTTGAATCTGAATTTTCACTTGATAATTTTGTTTTACTATGATTTAAATCAGTTATTTGTTTAACATGATCTCCAAGTTTAGTTTGAATATCATTTAATTGTTGTTCAAGTTGTTTTGAAAGTTTTTCAGCAGCTGCTTTACTTTTTTGTAGATGTTCAATTTGTGTGCGTAAATCATCTAATTCAGATTTAACTGTTTGTTTTTCTTTTTCTAATTTCTTTTTTAATTTTTGCAATTGATCAATTTGTTCATCCATTTCTTTAAAAAAAAATTAAATTTTTTTGGAATTTAATAAAAAAAAAATTTACCATTAACAGCATCTTGATGTTTTTTTTCGTAATTGTGCAGGTGTAGCTTCATGTTAAAGATTAGCTTCTTCTAAATCTCGACGAAGTTTTTGTAATTCAAATTCACGTTTTTTATTCATTTCAACTTGTGATGATGTTGCACCACCAGCTTCTTCTAAACGATCATTCATTTCATCAATTTCTCTTGCTAGATCAGCTCGTTGTTGTCTTTCATTTTCTATTTCTTCTTCTAATTCTTCAATACGAGCTTGTAATTCTTTGATTTTTTTCCTAAACTTGTTGCTTGTCCTTGTTCATCTTCAAGACGTTCACCCATTTGTTGAATTTCTTGATCTTTACGTTTAATATTTTCTTCTAATTCACGTTTGGATTTTTCTACTTCTTCTAAATTATTTTGTAATGCTTTTAAATCAGTTTCAAGTTTTCGTTTTGATTTATCTAAATCAGCACGAGCTTTTTTTTCACGTTCTAAATTATCTTCTAATTCATCAAGTATTTGTTCAAGTTTAGCTTTAAGTTTATTTAGATGATCAACTTTATCTTCTTCAGCTTGTAATTGTTCAGTTGTTTTAGAATTTTGTTCTTCAAGACGTTTACGTTCATGTGTTAATTTAGCTATTGTTTCATATTGATGAGCAATTTCATCTTGTAATGTATGAATTTGATTATCACGTGTTTTACATTCATTTTCAGATTTTTGTAAACTTAAACGCATATCATCAATATCTTTTTTTAAACCATCAATATCATGTTCAAGTTTCTTTTTCTTATTATTTAATTCTTGTGTACTTTCTTCTTCTTGACTAAAACGTTCTTCTAAATCTTTAACTTGTTGTTCAAGATCAGTTTTTTGTGTTACTGAAAAAGAAAATATAATAGAAATTGATTAGAAGAGATTAATTGTATCGAAAATTAGGAAATTTTTTCGATGTTTTATCGTTTTATATAATGATAAGTATATCTTGAGATTAGAAATTTTGGATATGATCATTATTTTAACTTGATTAAAAGTATTCAAACATGTTTAATATCTGTTCTAGTATGAATTAAGAAAAAAAAATCAATGAATTTTCGAACTTCAATGAGTTGTACAACTCATAAAATCTAATGTTTCGAGTCTTCTGTGACCAATATGGCGCAGAAAGGATGAGTATAGATTTGCTAGTAAACTGAGCCTTATTTGAAGCCTTAAAGAAAGTATTACTCATCATATATAACTTCAAAAGTAATTAGGTGTGTTTTTTCAAAACATCATTTTATTTTTATGTACAATGAGTTTTCAAACTGACGCAACGAGATACACAATCGAGAGGATTTAATTCACCTTTTTGGATGAAACTGATTGAAAGTAATAAAATTTTGGTAAATTTTTAGACCACTAGAAAATACTACATCAACTCTATGTGAAAATATTTTCTTCCTCTTTCAATCTCGACTATCTCGAGTCATTTCTCATGTAACAAGACTTATGTCATTTAATTTCTATAGTTAAGATCCTTTCTAAATGAAATTTTTCATTTTGTTTACTGTAGCGATGGTTTTTGTTTTTTTGGAAAGTGCTTATTTAGAGTTTCTTCTTTGCAAAAGAAGAACGTTTTAGATCATTTTTCGTACCAGCAAAGATCAATATGAAGTCCTTCACTAAGCTACACACTTTTCTCGGAGTTTTGTTTACATCAGAGCCTTGAATTTTGAAAGAAACTGATGTACTCCATTCGGGATCTTATGAGAAGGCAACCCTGTTTAGTACTTTCATTGCAAAAACTTCCGTTTAGTGGTAGAAAATCACGTAAGAAAACAATTTCATAATTATTTGTTTGTTTTTTTTTATGTATCATTTCTTCAATAGGAAAAGTCTTTAATTGACAATTATCGAGATGATGATAAATGAAATATTGGTTTGATTGTATTGATAAACAAAAGATGAAATCCCGATTAAGGATGCAATGTAATACAAAATAGTTTGTGATTCACATTGAGATTTTTGATTTTATTATAATAAATTTTAATATTTTAATGATCTTTTTTGTTTTTTATTTCAAAAGAACTAGAAAAAAAATTCATCACGATTAGTCCGTTTACAATTTGATAAACATGTTATAAAGAACAATTCAAAGTATAAGATTGATTTTCTTATTGAATAGAAATTATTTTTTTTTATCGGTTTACATTGAAGAGAAAGAAAGTGTGATAAAGCACAGTAGTGTGCTGATAGATGATGTCCATAAATAGAAAGATAATAAAATATGAATATAATAAAGAATATGAGAAAAATATTGACAAAATAAAATGAAAGAGAAAGGCTATTATTTATTGGTTCATAGTCGAATTTAATTAAAGAAAAAGAAATGCATTGTTTGTATTGACGTCGGTGGTCACGTAAAATAAATGAGAAGAGATATATAATCATAGATATTTCTGAGCTAAAAAGAATGGAAGATAATAATAATAGACATGAAATATTCATTTGTTCAATTGATGGATTTACCTGTTGAAATACTTATGATTATTTTCAAGAAATTAAATAATGATGAAGTACTTTATTCTTTAAAGAATATTAATATGCAATTAGATCAAATTATCGATGATCCTATCTTTACTAATGAAATTTCATTAATAAAATATAATTCATTAGCTGATCTTACATCTGCACTACCTGATATAGTGCTTGATCGATTCTATTTTCAAATCTTGCCTAAAATTTGTCATAAAATCAAATGTTTTACTCTCGAAACATTATCTATCGAACGTATTCTTCTTGCTGCTAAGTATTGTAATTTATATCAACTTAATATTTTTTGTATGAATGAAGAAATTGATATACAACTCTTTACTGGTAAGATATTTCATTTTGAATATTCTAATTATTAAATGATAAATTAATATTAAATTATTTATGTCATTCGATACATCATACTATTCTGTTTTCATAATACATATTAATTTTCAATATGAATTAAAGTAAAAGACTTACAGGAACTTTCCATACAAAAAAAAAAAAAGTATTTAAAATATGATTTCAAAAGATCTTAATATAATTTTATTACATGAGTATTTATAAACAAGAATATGATAATATACAGTCGTAAAAGCTACAAATCCTTCCAGACCGAAATTCGGCCGAGTTCGGATCCATACTATTATTTTTTATCGCTTCGGACTCATATTCAGATTTAATGTTAGATCATATGTTTAGAAAGATAAACAACAAGAAATAACTTTACTTTGACTTTTTTCTGATAGTAGTTAATAAGTAGTTGAAATCTGGTTCTTTTACTTAAACATATATAGAAGATGGCAGATATTGGTAAAACAAAAAGCTCGACTATGGAATTCATAAAAATGTGAACTCTCAGCTCTCTAGAAAAAAAGAGATTTATTAACTAAAGTAGAGTTACTTTCTCATTATACTCGATAAGTATTAAAAGAGACAGTACTCGGAATTGATTTAGAAATAAGAATAGAAATTAAGACATAAAGTTCATTTGAAAGGATTTAGTGGTGAAAAGAATTATATTATAAATCTATCCTATGAAACTTGAAAATGTGAAAAGAACGCAATATTATTGAATGCCTAACTGATAGTCATTCGTTATCTACTTATGGATATCCTGATTAACTGAGATTAGTGAGGACCAGTCTTTCTCCCAAAATTTTAGTTATTTCTACGAAAAATTTTATGTTTCTGACAGAAACACCAGTTCTTCTGTTTGGCTTTTTAATGATTTTATTTTCCATTTAATGGTATTGTATTCATAGAAGTTGTAGTGATTTGAAAAAATTCTTTAGAAGATAAGATATCTAAAAGATTGTTAATACTTTCTGTTCAATTAACTAGTCAAAAGTAGAGATATTTGTAAGCCAAGGAAAGATCTGTTGAATTTCTTACATTTTTTCCTTTGTTTAATTGTGCAATTGAGAACAATAGAGAAAAGATAAACAATCACAAAGATTATGAAGAGAGACAATGAACTCTTTTAAGACAACAGTATTGTCGATGTTCTCATTCATGTATAATGTACAAATTTAATAGAAATAAAGTGTCAACTTGAGAAATCATATTTGAGCAGCGTTAACTATATATTGCAAAATATTTGTTTCTGTAAAGAAATTTTCCATGGACTTTCTACCAAAATTTAGTTCCTCCCTTTCTCTTTGAAAACAATCAAGAATCATAATTTTACAAAAAAAAAGATAGAGAATATTGCGAAACTCTTACTATCTAATTCTTCATAATATTTTTTTTTGAAGCCATGAAAAAATAATCTATCATTATAGATAAAAAATTCTTGAAAACATCTTAGATTTAAAAAGAAACAAAAGAAAAAATATTTTATGAATGATTTTATATTTATATTTAGAAAAATCTCGTTTACTTCATATATTTCAAAAACAGATTGTGACATTATGTGTTAGTGGTAGAAGAGTTCTATCTGATAGATATTCTGAAATGTATACACTAGCAAATATTTTTTCAAATATCTTGCTTAATTTTATCAATCTTCTTCATTTAAAATTCTATTCATTATATGATTATAACGCTGCATATCTATCATTTGTTAATCAATCTCCAATGTTTTTTTCTTCAACTTTGGTAGGATTACATATTAATGTATATAATTTCAATGATTGTCTTTATTTACTTGATGGTCGTTTACATCAATTACACACATTATTTGTTAAAGTCTTTCATATTCTTTCTCTTTTTCATTCACCTGATATCACAGAAGTAAATTAGTTGACAAGAAAATGATTAATAATTTAATTATATCTTTCTATTTTCTAGGAAAAATTACTTAACTTGAAATGTTTTTCATTGATTTGTTTTAATGATTCAGATATTTATGATGAAGCAATTGTACCACATCTGCATCGCATGATAAATTTAGAAAAATTGCTTTTATATTTGGTCATCATGTGTAATAGAACATTCATTGATGGGAATGATCTCAAAAAGAATATTATTAATCATTTGCCACTTTTGCGCCAATTTATATTTAATATTCATTCAAAGCTTTCGTTTGACAATGAAATGCATTTTCTATCAAATAAAGACATTCAAGATACATTTACAGATTTTAAAGACTATGAAGTTATTTCTAGTGTTGACTATTTTCCAAATGACGGAAGTAGTCAATCTCATATTTATACATATCCATATACATTAAGACATTATAATAATATTACTAATAATTTTCCACGTAGATTATTTAACTATGTTCAAGTAGTAACATTATTTGACGAACGTTCTTTTGAACATGAATTTTTTATGAGACTTGTTCAAGCATTTCCTTGTCTCAAAGATTTGACCATAACTAATTCAGAACCACAAAAACACAAACAATATTCAAACTCGAATGATGAAAATCAAGATTTTTCAATGATTGAATATCCTCATCTTATTTACTTAAATCTTTTCGAAATTCATGATGATTATGCTGAACAATTTTTATTGGATACAAAAACATGTTTCTTAAATAATATTCGTTTGTCAATTGATGATGACGTAATACAACGTGTGACACAAAATTTTACGAGAGATGCAACAAGAAACAATTATTCTAAAGTGAAAACTCTTTATCGTTATCAATCAGTGGATTTATCAAAATATTGTTAATATTTTCTTTCATCTCGAATAATGATGATTATGTTCTGAATAATTCAATAAATTGTAAACTAAAAACGAATGATTAACATTTTTGAAAATATTCTATTAAATAAAATCAAAAGAAAAATATAATTTAATTGATTGACTATTAATATACTATTTAAAAAAATTGAAGAAAAGTTACACTAAGGTGAAACTCTTTGACCTTCCTATAAGCTGAATTTTTACAAGCATATCTCTTAAAGTTTCAGGAGAGATTTTTTGATGATCTTGTAAAAGATGAGGGTATGTCTATATATATAGCTGTGTAAGCCACAAATCATCGTAAACATACATTGTGTTGAGAAAAAAAAATACCTTGACAAGGAAATTTTACTTTACTGTTAACGAAGGAATAAACTATTTAATATTATTGGAACAGTGATTAGCGATTGCCTACCACATTTGTTCGTTTAACGGAGATCCTCATTCGAATTATTGAATACAATAAAACCAAGAAGAAAAAACAAAATACGATTGAGAATACATGCCAAAATGCTTAATATCGCAAGACCACTGTTATGGACTATAAGATACTACTCGAAAGAAAAGATCGACGAAACAACAAACTAGATATGGAAGAAAATGTATAGAAACTACTTCAACATTGAGTTTGATATGTGTCCTGATTAGACATCTCCATCACCATGGCAACTGGTCACGACAGCGCTACTGTCTATGAAAGACAGAGTTGCTTGTGGCGCCGTCGTGACCAGTTGCCATGGTGATGCAGATGTCTAGTCCTGATAGATGACACAAAGTCACCAGACAAGTTTGAGTTATAAGAGTACTTGATCCCATGAAATGTCTATGTTGAGTGGGTATTTCAACACACGCATGACTATGTTAGTCAAATATTGTCATAAAAACAACAAGAGCTCTTATCAAGCATTCGGAAGTATCGCTCATTTTTTATCAAAGAAGCCAAAAGAACAATTTTGACTGCTTGCATTCATCGGAATGTTCTTAATGCATCATTTTAGACTGTAAGACAAGAGTATCACTTCACATTCTCTCAAAGATGAGTAAATCTCAACATAATTACGAACATTCTGTCTTTTTTCATTTCGAATACTCTTTAGTTTTCATTATGACCTTCATGTATTTGTCATTACGAACATCCAAACATTCTCATTCTGATCTCCAGTCAAAATTTAGCTGTTCAACCAGAGGTGAGCACAGGACACTTTTTTCTGTCCTGTTCTGCACTGTAAACAAAAAAGGTACTTTACCAAACCCCTCAAAAAGCTTCTATAGTTGTCTAAAAGCTCCCAAATGCGTCCAAAGGTTTAAAAAACAAATCTTAAAATTTACGAAACCTTAAAAGGATCTTCCCATGTGCCTGCGGGAAGATCCTTTTAAGGTTTCGTAAATTTTAAGATTTGTTTTTTAAACCTTTGGACGCATTTGGGAGCTTTTAGACAATTATAGAACCTTTTTGAGGGGTTTGGTAAAGTACCTGTTTTGTTTACAGTGTGTTCTGCTGTCTTACTTAGTTCTGACGGGTGGCAGGACAGGAGAAAAATTTTTGTTGCACCCTGTCCTGCAGGACAGGTCAGGACACCAGAACAGGAGGACCGTCCCGGTGTCCTGTTCTCAGATTTGTATTGAACGTTCTTTTAGATCTTTGGCAAAACCGAAAATGAAAAACATGCTAAAGTAAAATAAGGAATCAATCAGACTATAAAAGCAACAATAACTATCCTCAACTACTGTTTCTCTGCTTATTTTTCGTCATGATCTACTATTACTTCTGAATTCACACTTTTTCGACAAATGTTAAAATTGTAAAAAAGAATCAGATCAAATACAGGACCAACTTGTTGGTCTCGTCCTGTCCTTTTGTCCTGCTGGTGTCTGTCCTGGTGGGGGCAGGACAAGACAGGGCGCTAGGATAGCAGGACAGGATCGTCCTGTGCTCAAATCCGCCCCCAACCACTAACAAGCGGTTGTCAGAGTTCGTTACAACCTCCTAAACAAATTTTATTCCGAACATTCTGGTTTTTTTTCTTATTTTTCATTGACTTTTGCCATTACGAATTCCATTCTAAACATGCTATCTTTTTTTCTTATGCCCGGAGATTGTAACGGACTATTTCAACTGAAGTTCATAATGAAAAGATAAGACGAAAACAAAACTAATTTTCCCATTGTTTCGTATTTTGTTACTTTCATGTACAAGTTTCGAATAATTTAAACGATCAATCAAAGGCTTACGAGGGAACCGATACAACTGATAAATCGCTTTTGAGTTCCGACTCTGTGCATAAGATAGACCTCCGTGAGGTATGAGAAACCCTGAAAGGACAAGTGCCCATAGGCCTTCTGTCCAGAGTTCTAGGCATTTTATTGGAATTTTAGCCTATGACATGGTGTATACCAATAAATCGAATGACGGTATTTCAAGCTAAGATTTTGCTCACAGAGGGGCCTATTTGTGAGTAGAATGTCCTGAAAATTTCAGTTCAAAAGAGTGTTTCCTTCCCAAGATATTAAAGGTCCAAAAAGTAGGAAATTCTAGCGACTTTGTGGGATATGCGCGATTTTTGAGGCTGTAATATCTCGGGAGAAAAATGTTCTTTTGAGTTGAAATTTTTAGGATATACTACTAACAAATAGACCCCTCTGTGAGCAAAATCTCAGCTCGAAATACCGTCATTCGATTTATTGGTATATACCGTGTCATAGGCTAAAATTCCAATAAAATGCCTAGAACTCTGGACAGAAGGCCTATGAGCACTTGTCCTTTCAGGGTTTCTCATACCTCACGAGGGTCTATCTTATGCACAGAGTCTGAACTCAAAAGCGATTTATCAGTTGCATCGGTCCCCTCGTTAGTCATTAATAAGTCGACTATTTTTAAGATCAAACTTCTAGAATCAATATTTCATTAGTCAAATATGACAAACTTTTCAATAGTATTTTGTTTTTAATGAGAAGACTAGTATTATTTATTCTATTTTAATCAGTTATAAATCATAATTAATAAAAAAAAACTTTATGCAAATATTATCTCAGTTTAGAAAAATGAAAATGCCATCATTTCTTCATAAATTATCTTAATTAAATAAGAATTAAAAATTAGATGTCGCTTGGAAAATATTGAAAATATACAATGAGGAGGAAAGAATACGAACAAAAAACTATATATATAATATAGAATAAATCGATGAACAATGTATTTGCTAGTGTGAAAGTTTTCAAGTATGTCAAGTCATTGTTCTTTTTACTTATTAACTATACTCAATATTTCAGGTAATCGTTGCTTTATAATTTATCAATTTTCATTATCATAGTAAATCATTCGATTATATACTTTAGAAAAAACAAAACTTTTTATGATTGTTTTTTTTTGTAGGTTTATGACAGTTGAAGGTACATTAACTGAACCTAGCAATTTTACATAGAGAAATCGAAACTATATCAAGTGGTTTATATTTATATTGACCTCTCAATGAATTAATTTTTTATATATATGAAATTATTCATGTAGAACTTATTGATGATATATATCTTGACTTGAATATATATATCTATGCAGCAATTATTTCTAAAGAAATATATGGTATTCTCATGATCAATATACAAGTAAATATTAGTTAAACTTCATCTAGTTGTCATTATTATTTTCTTTTCTAGATAGTCTATGCAAGCGTTAAGGATGAATGAGATTTTCATTTGAATTATTTTCATTCTAAAGCAAAAAAATAACCTTTTATTTTTATCTAAATATTTGAGCGTTCATATTATTTATTAGTGTGTATGATGATGGTAATAAATATATTTGTGAAATATTTTGTCGATGGATAATTATTTTAAAATAACTGGTAAATCAAAAGTGCATTCAAATTCAAATGTTGATTCGTTTTTTTTGACGATGATAAAGTTGATTTGTTGGCAATATATAAAATGAAAGAAATTTTTCGAATAGAAAGAAAACAAGATACTTGTTGGATTATATACTGAAGATTTTCGTCAAAGAATGTTTTATTGAACATTTTATTTTCTAGATGGCAGAAAATATGTCTACATTTCATTTTAATGATGTAGTCAAGAAATATGAAAAACAAATCGAAGAAGATAAATCGTATTTATTCGTTCTTTTTACCTTGTGATATTTTGATTCTAAACAATTTCGTTTATTACTTAACAATCAGGTAAGAAAACAATTTCATAGTTGTTTTGTTTATATATATATATATATTATAGGAAATGTCATTAATCGATGATTTTCCACATGGTAATAAATGTATTACTGTTTATTGTATCAGGGGTGGAACCGGTTGAGAAATATTAAAACGGTCCGGTCCGGCCGATTGAAAAATCCTACCGGTCCGGTCCGGCCGGTTGAAAAATCCTACCGGTCCGGTCCGGCCG